TCAGCAGGGACACTCCCTCTGTCCCTTGCTAGTTGGCTAGTCCAGCAGCTCCAGAGCCAGGCAAGGGATAGGAAGACATCCGTTCTGAGGAAAACAAGGCATTGAGGGTGAAGGGGGTAAATCGCTGAGTGAGCAACAGTTGACCTTTGTGAGTTATTGAGAAAGTGCCGAGGTGGCAAGGCCTGGTGGTGACAGGGCCCGGAGGCCCACAGGAAGGACGTCTATCTGATTGGGTTTGTGATGTGGGCAGATTCTACCTGGAGATAGTCGCGGCTGGGCTCTCCGGGGAAAAGAGGGCAAAGCCGGGGCCCCAACTGGAATAGGCTATTGGTCCAGAAAGAAGTTCCAGTGTGGGAACCCAGCAAGCTTCAGGCCTGCACAGGTCACATTCCCAACCCCTGTCGGCCGGAGTCAGTGTGGGCACTGTTTTAGCAATGACTCACAGACTACCAGGGGTAGGATAGGCAGATGCCTTGGAAGAAGCAGCCTGTATATTCTCAGAGATGAAACTGTCTCTACGGGGTCCTGTGGTTGTCTGCAGGGCTCTCTCTCTCTCTCTCTCTCTCTCTCTCTCTCTCTCTCTCTCTCTCTCTCTCTCTCTCTCTCTCTCTCTCTCTCTCTCTCTCTCTCTCTCTCTCTCTCTCTCTCTCTCTCTCTCTCTCTCTCTCTCTCTCTCTCTCTCTCTCTCTCTCTCTCTCTCTCTCTCTCTCTCTCTCTCTCTCTCTCTCTCTCTCTCTCTCTCTCTCTCTCTCTCTCTCTCTCTCTCTCTCTCTCTCTCTCTCTCTCTCTCTCTCTCTCTCTCTCTCTCTCTCTCTCTCTCTCTCTCTCTCTCTCTCTCTCTCTCTCTCTCTCTCTCTCTCTCTCTGTGTGTGTGTGTGTGAGAGAGAGAGAGAGACAGAGAGAGCTCATGCATGCACAAAACTGAGTCGTCCAGTGATGTGTGGGCCAGTGTCTGTGTGTGCCGTGTCTCTCCGTGAGGACCAGGGTGGCTGGCACACACTTGTCTGTGCATCTGTGGGCACATGAAGGTATGATGCCTTCATAAAGGGTTCTATGCCCACAACTCAGCCGAGGTGGGCAGTGATGGGGAACAGTCAGTCCCATCAGGAGGAATCTGACCATTCAGAGAGGTAGATGCTGTGGGACCAGAGAAGGAGATCAGTTCTGTCTTAGAGAGTCAGGGAGGGCTGCCTGGAAGAGGGGACATTTGCTGATCGGGACTGTCTTCCTGAATCTTTGAAGATATGCACCTGAACCATAATTTCCAGAACCCTCCATACTTGGTTACTCATCCCTAAAGCAGTCTGAGATGAGCCAAACAGCATGGTGACCTAGGAGGTTAACTGGCCTTTTCCCCTGAAACGTAAACACTAGCTCCCCACCAAGTCTTATGTTCATATGACAAGATGAGAATAACCAGGACACCCCCTGCCTCCTCTGACTCTTGGGTTCGAGGCTATGGCGTTGCCTTCAGGTGAGTGTTTGCCCACCTGGGCTGCCCTGACTCTTCATGCACAACCCAAAAGGGTGGACCTGCCCAGAGCTGAGCACTGCCCCTGTGAACAAGGCTGGCAGGGGCAGCTGAGCTCAGCTCTGCATCTCTGGCCTGGATGCTGGGATACCTGAGTGACACTTCTGGTACCAACTCTGTGGCTGCATGATTTGGTACAAGTCCTTCCAGCAACTTGAGCCTCAGATTCCTCCTACCTCTGTATGTGTTGTGGAAACAGCAGTCTTGACCCTCAAGCTGTGTAACTTCGAGCAAATCACTAAGCTCCTGGATGTTCAGTTTGCTCATCTGTAAGAGAGGAACAATAACAGTAAATGAAAGAGCATAGAGGGAAACACTTTAAAGTTTAAAAAATATATAGCATTCAAGAGAAGTCACCTGTGAAGCAGAAAGGCTTAGCCAGATTCGCAGTCCTTGGCCCCATCTGCCTCCCCTAGTTGGGTATTTTTCAGAGAACCTAGGCCTCCCGGTGTTGTCTTGAGGGGGCGAGGAGACCCAGACAGGGGCTCCAGCACCCCGAGGACAGAAGACCCAGGAACGGAGTCTGCCGGTCAGAAGGCGCTGGCCCGTGGCTCCCTGGAGCTGTGCAGCAATGATTCAGGAAAAGGCTGACAAGGATATTAGCAGTGTGGGTTTTTTTTAATCCTGAGTCCAGAGAAAATGCACGGTCAGGAATAAAGGCGCCCAAGAGAGCAAGGAGAAAGAGAAATAATCAGAATTAGCCAGCAGGCGGGCAGCAGGAGCAGGGGCAAGGCAGCCCCGCAGAGGGCTGGAGGCTTCTCAGGACCCCAGGCTGGGGTCTATGGGAGGGGAAGGCCTGCATAGGCACAGGAGGGATTGGGGGCCAATCGGAGCCCCAAGAGCAGGCAGAATGGAAGACAAAAAAGAAGCCATCACCAGGTGAGTCCAACACCCCTGGGGCTGCCATGCATCCCATGGACCCCTACTATCTCAAAGCAGTGGAAAGGATGCCACTAAAGGGTTTGAGCTCTCCACTCCCCATGGCTCACAGAGCTCTGGATGTGGGGCTGGGGTTGGGGGGCAGCCAAGAGGCTGCTCAGATACTGCAGGGAGGCTGCGGAAGCCTCCGCAGGCGGGAGGCCTTCACATTCCCTCCCTCAACGCAGAAATGAAACCAGGTGAAAGAGACCGTGGCCCAAGAAATTAGCTGGGGCCCTTTCTCTGGCTGTTGGACAGGGTGTTATCAACACAGTCCAGGGGGTGGTCCCAAGGCCTGCTGTAAGAGCAGGGGCCAGGGGAGGGAGATGGGGGTTGGATTTTGATGAGCCGGAGCAAAGAAATCCATTACCCATGGGCAATGGAACCAACATTACCCCTAATCGAAACCTGACTTTCACAAATCATTTAGACTATCAGTTTGAAACAAAAACAAAACAAAACAAAACAAAAATAAAATTGGCCCTGCACGTGTGTGTGTGTGTGTGTGTGTGTGTGTGTGTGTGTGTTGGGGGAGGGCAGAATTAATGCATCAGCCCCTGATTCCACAGCAGATTTCAAATTAATGGAGTATAAATTAATGAGTAACATGTGTGGTGTCCTGGAAGCCCAACGTTTCTCCAACACCCCCTGACTCTGAGCCCTCCGGCAAAGTGCTTCCCTGAACTGCTTTTCTACGAATCTCATAGAGAGGAATGGGACTGTGTGTTTCCCGGTCACCCTTCCCTTGGCAGGGACCACAACACCCATTCAGCCTCGCTTTTACACCTTGAAAGTTCTCACACTGGACCTTTGGACAGTGTCCATGTTACTAGCACAATTATACAGATTTAAATTTTGTATGTGTAGAAAGCATTCGTGTGCTAAATGTAGGATTTATTACATCACAGAGAGGGTAATTCCATTTTGGCCTCTTTTTTTTCTTCAGTATTTTAATACATCTGGATTCCTGATATGTGAAAATATCAGGGTCTTTCTTACCCTCTGACCTCTGCATTTCATTCTCAGTTCTGGTCATGTAGGTTTCTTTCGCTCTCTATTCAAAGCTAATTGGGATCTTAGGTTTCAGATGACGTATAGAAGCAGAAGGTTGTTTCCCTTGAGCATTGCTGATTATCCAAATCGCTCTGCGGAAAGCTCTAAATGATATTTACTGGCACAGAGCGCCCAGCAGCTGTACCTGAGAACCACCTCAAGCTCTCCCATCAGAGCTGCCCCGTCGCAGGGCCAGTAGCTGAGCAAACATCCTCTCCGTTTGTGTCCCTCACAAGGTATCAAGTCAAGACAAGAATCTCCTGGACCACTCACCTCCCTGTCCACTCTGTACAGGTCACCTATGTGAACATCCAACCCAAATCTCAACCCCCCAAATTTAATTTATTTCTACCTAAACAAGTTCTTTTATCATAAAGCAATAAATTTGTCTTGGTGCTAGCAATTTGTTGCGGGTGACATAACATTGCAAATTGATTAATCGCTACTATACGCGGCAAAATGAGAAAAGCAAGGAATTATTATGAATAGCGTCCGTCTTTTACGGGAGGGATTCATTATTCAAAAGTGCTCGCTGGTGCTTACATGTGCCCTCGGTGCAGATTACATCCATTTGCAGACTTCCCACATCATGCTTACACAAATCAACAAACGTGCATTTATTAAGACATAGAATGAAAGCTATTTAAAAGTGAAAAATGGCCTTTTGCATTACTTTTCTTCAAGGAAGGCAGATCTGGGTGGGATGTTCCCGGGAAGTAGCCCAACAGTTGTCACATGCATGTCTCTGGGTTCTGTGCACACTGGTTCATGTTGGAGCTGCCAACTCTGCCTGCTCTGCCTTTACAACTCCAGGATCAGAAACCCCCACAGGTGGTTCTGGAACCCTTGCTCTGGGTTGGGAGACATAAGCAATAGGCCACCACCACCCAGCAGGAAAATGCAGCAGGTGAGAGTGCTCAGTTCTCCAAAAACATGCCTCCTTATGATCCCCAGGAAGGGGAAAGAAACACAAATTAACTGAGCACCTCCTTTGTGCCAGACCCTACCCTGACTGCTTTCCTTGTGTTAATAAGTCCCTCTACCTCCCTGAACCTCATAGGTGCAGGGAGTGAAATAGGTACAGACCAAGTGAAATACTGCACACAAAAAGCACAAGATAAATGCTTCATATATGTCAGCAGTTATTACTATTTTAATTTCATCTCATTTTTCTCAAGGTCAGTATTATTACCACCAACTTAACAAATGGTAAAACTGAGGCTTAGAAAGATTACAAGTTTTGCCAAACTATACAGTGACTAAGGGAGCGAGACTGGGCTTCAATTTAGGATCTGATTCCAAAAGGTCATAATCCTTTGTAAGAAGGCATCCTATAGTTCTCTTTGGCAATCAAAATCAGGTGAATTTCCTTCTTCTAATCTAATAGATGAAACCACACACCATCCACACCTCAGCCACCTGCTCTTTGTCTTCAGGTGTGCAGATGGGACATTTAAGAGGCTATGGAAATGTCATAACCATCACTCCTGTGAAACATTCCCACATCCGTAGAACCCATCTGTTCTAACTCTGGTCCCTTCCTTCATCATGTGACCCGTTATCAAAGACTCTTCCAGAAGGAAGTGCATTGTCTGCCCCAGTGAAGACTGATGGGTAACTCACAGCACCAGTATTGATTATTCCTGCTCAACTCACGCTTTGTTTAAAAATAGACTGAGTTCTCAACTTTCATATTCTAATTAGATTTCAAAGCAACTTTTATAAAATGAGAAAGCCTTTATTATTTCTCTGCTGCAGAAAGGACCGTTAACTGCTCCCCAGCTAGGCTAAAATCTCCTCTAATCTCTGCTGTCACCCATCAGACAAAAGCAGTTACCCATCTTCTGAGAAAACTGCACTGAAACACTAACCTGTCTCCAGGTTGCCAGAAGCCGGGGGTAGTCAGTTTATGAGCCTGGGCACATGGCTCTGACTGAGCATCAGCCCCTGTGAGCACAACTCACATGGCGATATTTCTCCAAAGGTGTTCTGCACATCACCTGCACTGAGATCAGGATGGGGCTTACAAGATATCTCAAGTGCAAGCCTCCCCCAGATCTGCCACAGGTTTGATAAATGCCTGTGTCCCCTTTTTGCACACTAAAATTTGTGAACTATGGTCCCAAATACTTCTCCAACTCCCTGTCCAGTTGTTGATGTCACCAGACTGAATCTTTGATTAATGCAAATTCTGTTGGCTCACTGACCTGTCTCACTTAAAGGAGAGATATAACCCTAAGGAGGCGTTTGCTATCTTGTAGCCCATTTGACTCCGTTCCTGTCAGCTTCCCCCAACCATGGTCCCTCGGGGAATCCTTGACTCCCAGTAGGACCAGTATACCTGGACCAAGGCTCAATTGTTTGATACACCATAAAGCTGCTCAGTTAGAGCCAAGAAGAGACCAGACTCCCAGGCAAGATAGAAGTGATGAGGTCATCTCTGCAGTCCTAGGCTCTGTCTACTACAATCAGAGCCCTAAGGTTGCCAAGTACCCCTACCCCTGACTCTTATTACAACCTGTCATTAATTTTTATGCTCTTGGGTATAGTAGCTCTCATACCTTAGCATGTGTCAGAATCACTTGGAGGGCTTGCTAAGACATTGGTTGCCAGGCCTCACTTCACAGAGCTCCTGACTCAGTAGGGCTAGCACTAGGCCCAAGAATCTGCATTTCTAACAAGTTCCTAAGTGATGTTTCTGGTCCAGAGATCACATTTGGAGACCTTAGACTCTAAAGTCTGTGTTATATCCCCAGCATTCAGTATGCAGTAGGAGTTAGTCTCTGTTTGCAAAATGAATGAATGAGTCAATGGCTGGTAAGTTATCATGAACTGCATTTTTAAGCCCTCTGACTGGGGCTCCTCTTTCCACTCTACTTTCCACTCTACTGCGGTTACCCAGTATCTGCTAGGCCTCTGTAAGAGCACCCAGAAGGAGTTTGTGTCCTGGGACCAGGGTAGGTATGTCTGCCACACCCACAGAATCAAGTCTAGCCCACTTAGGAGGTCAGGAAGCTGCACAGGGAGTGAGGCAGCCCATTCTGGTCTTGATGGGGGTAATGGTGACTCTTCCCATCTTGAAACACTGACCCATCACCTCCTAACTAGGTGACCACAAACTTGGCCCTTGAACTCCCAAGAGTCTTGATTTCCTTGAGTCAGGTATTATTATTTACCTCCAGGGTAACTGCACGGTCAAGTCTATGCATGGAAACACCCCCACAGTGTCTGGCACATGAGGGGTACGGCCAATGTCTGTTCCCTCGTTCATTCCCCGCCCCTGTGAAATGAGTTCTAGAAATGTTCCAGGAGTAATGAATTCTCTCATTTCAGCTAAACCACCCATGATCCTGGTTTTGTAGAGATGTATGATAGAACGTGATAAATTACCATTTTAACCAGAAGCTTCATTCAAATACCTATTTCCCTGTCAGCTTAATTTTGTTTGCATGTGTTTTCTAGTGGGTTGACTGGAAGGAACAGGTATATCTCTCCTTTAAGTGAGACAGGTCAGTGAGCCAACAGAATTTGCATTAATCAAAGATTCAGTCTGGTGACATCAACAACTGGACAGGGAGTTGGAGAAGTATTTGGGACCATAGTTCACAAATTTTAGTGTTTATGTACTGTCTAGTGGGTTTGGCCTGTTCTAATGGGGAGTTGATGCCATTGGGGTGGGGTGGGTGGGGATTATCATCGATAAGAACCCTCATCCATAGTCACACCTGGTTGGTGACATAACTCTGAGGGTTAATTCTACTCTGTTCACATCTTTCTGTAGGGCATGGCAATACCTCATCCCTCATCAAATGTCTGAGTTCCTCTGTCCAGAGGAGTATTATGGCGAAACCACCAAGAAAGTAGTTTTGTATCCAGTCTCAAATGTTGCCTGGAGCCAATGCCCCCAATGTATTATCTCATTTCTGCTTTAACCCCTAAAGATTCCAGGGTATATTTCCTAAGAATAAGGATATTCTCTAACACACCACAGTATAGTGTTACAGACCAGAAAATTCACATGGGTGCATCATTGTCACCTAGTTCAGAGTCCACATTCAAATTTTGGCAGTTCTCCCAATAAGACTCTTTATATTCCATTATTTTCTCAGTTCAGGGTCCAATTATGTATGACAATTTGCATTTCTGTACCATGTCTCTTTCAACTGTTCAATCCAGAACTGTTCCCTAGTCTCTTTGCCTTTCATGACCTTGACATTTTGAAGAGCTCAAACCAGTTATTTTGTAGAAGATAACTCAGTTTGTGTCTGTCTGATGGTTCCTCATGATTAGTTTTCAGTTATGCAGTTTTGGCTAAAATGCTACAAAAGTGATGTTGAGTCCTCAGTGCATCCTATCTGTCCCAGTACTGGTGATGTTAATTTCAGTCACTGGGTTAAAGTGGTCATACCAGGTTTCTCCATTGTAAAGATATTAGTTTCCCTTTGTAATTCATGGGGAGATACCTCGAAATGAGGTGATACCTTTGCGCTCACTTGTTTTAGTCCCTATAGGTGATCATTGCCTGAATCAGTTATCACTGTGATGGTTGCAAAGTGGTGATTTATTTTATTTTTTTCAAATCCATCATGACTTGTGCATTTTCCAGTTGGCATTGTACTGTAAATAAGAATGTTTCCTTCTCTCCATCTATGTAGGTACGTATTTTAGGACAATCTCATTGTGTCACGATCTTCCTGCCTCAATCTTCCAAGTATCTGGCATCACAGCCACATATCACCACACTTGGCCTTTAGGTTGGACTGGAAATCAACCCTGGGCCTCTTATGCAGCCCCAGCCTACAGAGCATAGCTTCTTGGTGAGCACTCCCACTACAGCTGAGCCCCATACATTTGTTCACTTATGGCAAACACTTTGGACTCAGAGACTCTTCCTTGATCCAGTGTTCTATAATTCATTGCCATTGATGTCATCATTTGATGCTTGAATTGCATGATCTCATGGAATCCTCATGACAACTGGGTGATAGGGCCACTGTTATCTGAGACAACCAGGCTTCTACTTCAGGCCCTACAGCTGCATCAGGCATTCAGGGGGACTTTGCCTCCTGACTCCCAGACCCAAGCACAGTCCTGCTTTCCCACCGGCAAATGGTCAGTGCAATGTCTTTGTGGACAGGAAGGTGCAATGTCCTGGGAATACAGGAGCCCACCCACAGCCTTATCAACCCTCATGGGAATAGTCTTGCAGGGCAGAAGGGCATGATTTTCCTAGAACTCTCTTCTAGTACTCTCTTATTCTGTCTGAGGCAGCTCAGCCTGAAGGCATGGAGGTCATTTACCTTGTGTAAAATGAGTCCGTTTATTGGATTTTCCACTGACATGATGCCCCCAGGAATCCTTGACACAGGCCATTTTTTAAAATTAGTGAATCTGACTGTATGAGATTGGTCACTCCTAAGTTCATCACCCAACAAATTTACTGAGCACCTACTGTGTGCCAGGCCCTGAGCTACCCTAAAGTTAAAACAGGAAGTAAGTTAATTAAGTCAAACAGGGTCCTTGTTCATGGAATTGATGTTCAAGTGAATTGTAATCAAATCATCCCCCAAACTCCAAAACAAAAATCTTATGATGGCAAGAATGAGGTCTATAGAGGAAGGTATTGTTTCTTTTTTTCCTTTTTTTTGGGAGAGGTTTTTGCTATAGGACACATGCACTCACCAGACAGACAGAGAGAGACAGAGAAACAGAAAGCGAGAAATCACCCCCTGGGGAGGAGGGGTATGACCAAGCTGCAATCCCTTCTACTCCATTCTTCTCTCAGGATCTTGGGCACACACGCACATGTGCCCTGCGTGAGTTTAAGCCACCAGGTCCAGGACTGGAACCGCGGTCAACTACATGGAATTCCAGTGACATAGCCATTATGCCAACTACTGGTCTCAAGGAAGGTATTATTATAATGAAAATTTGGGAAATTTGTTTAGGACATCAGAGGGAAGTAGCATGGTTAAATTAAGTAGTTTATAATATACTCTATTTGAGACCATTTTTCAAAGCAGAGAGGAGGGAGCTGAAACTCAGAGAGGTTAAGCATACCAAGAGTTGCACAGTGGTGGAATCTAGACTCAAATCCAGGTCTCCTGACTCCCCAGGCCAACATGGTTCAGTTCTTCTGCCAAAGTTGTTCCCTGAGGGTCTCTGATGGATTTAGGGATGGAGTTTGGGTTCACCTCTTTGATTTAGCACGTTTGTTTCCACTGTGACACTATAGGGCCCTGTTAAGTCCAGCCAGCAGAAAAAGACTTCTGATAGATTAAAACATTCTCAAAGTCAGTTTGATTTCCTTTTTTTTAAACAAAAGCCAGAAAACTCGAACAAGTCTGAGTATTAAAACACGGTAAGTGAACATATGCCCTTCACTGGATATCAGAGATCTATAACTATGTACCAGGCCATGAGCTAAGCACAGAGGGAGACTGAGAGTCCCCCAGGTAGGTCCAAGGCCAGAGTCTATGCTCCTATCCATGGTGTTGGGCTACCTCCCTGGGAATATCCATCTGCCTGATCAACCGTCCATCTGTGTGTGAGGCTATAAGCAAGGCCTCAGCCCTGGGAGCAGACAGGCAAATCCCAGGAGGGACAAAGTCTGCCCATGCTTGTCCCCACTGTTCAAGGCATCAGGAAGAGTCCAGGTGTGGGCAGCCCATGCTGATGCCCAGGAACTGTGACACACCACACTGACATCCCAACCTCTGGGTCTCCTCTGACTGGCCTTGGCTAGGCCTGGCTTGAAACCTGATCTCCATGGAAGCTGACACCTCAGCAGAGAGGGATCAGGACAGACACTGCTGCCACCACCAGAGCCTCAGCACAACTTTAGAGAGATTCAGACTCAGAGGACACTGGTCTGTGAGCTGTCTATATTCCAGCTCCACACCCAGAAAGATGTGTCTATATGATTCTTATATATAGTAACAGTGGCAGGAAAAGAACAAACTGCAAATTAAGTGACTTGGCTGAGTTTACACAGCTGGGAAAGTGAGCTTAGAATCCAAATTCTGTATCTTCAGAGCTTACACATTTTTTAAAAGAATTATCTGTTCAACTTTATTTATTACTATTTTTTTAATAACCAGAGAGAGACAGATGGTGGAGGGGGAAGTGAGAAAGCTAGCCTCCAGGTCCAAGACTCGAACTGTGGTTGAGTCTAGCACCTTAACCACCATACCACCTGCTGGCCCCCAGACCTTATACATTTCACCTCTTCAGCAAACCCTCACCATGATAATGAAGCATATTCACTCATCCAGTGCCTGGTATGTCACAAGTTCTCCATAAGAATTTGCTTAATAGCTGTATGCATATATAACTGTATTTGTACATGTAGCAGGCATGCAGGATTGCATATAGTAAAGATGTCTTGAGTCCTGAAGTTGTAGTAAAACATTCAGTAAGATCAGAAATAAGGGTGTATGATATTCCTTGCATCTCAGCTTTTTTTTTCTTTCTTTTTTTAATCTTATATCTTTTACTCTGAGACAGGCAGAACAAAATTTTTAATGCAGCTTTAGGACAGGAAGGTGAGCCAAAAACTCATCCCAGGCATCACTTAGATGCTATTATTGTTAGATGTTATTAATAACATCTCGAAGAAAATGAAAGACCGCAGGCTTTGGAGCCAGAAAGACCTGTTTCACCAACTGGTCTTAGTACTTTCTTGGGCTTAAGTGACCCTGGGCATGTCACTCACCTTCTGATCACTTACATATGCAGACAATATTTACTTACAGAATTGTTCTGAAGATTGAATAGAAGAACCAAGCCCAGCATGGATTTGATGCATTGCAGGTTCTCAGCGTATGTTAGGTTGCTTCTTTCTCCTACAGACAGCATCATAGTGGTTGTCTTAATCCATTTGTGCTTCAATACCAAAAGACCCGAGGCTGAGTAATTAAAAAGTAGAAATTCATTTTTTTCATGTTATAACAGCTGGAAATTTAAGGTGCTGGCAGGTTTGGTTGTCTAGTGAGGGCTACTTGCTGCTTCCAAGATGATACCTTGTTGCTACATCTTTTGGAAAGGAGCAATGCCATGTCCTCACATGGCATTAGGTCATGAGCTGAATGCTGCTTTAAAATCTCTTTTATAAGGACCTTAATCCCATTCATGAAGGAGTAACCCTCATGGCCTAATCATCTCTTAAAGGCCCCGCTTCTTAATCTTACTGAACTAGACATTAATTTTCAATACTTGAACCTTGGAGGGGAAGCATTCATATTATAACAGTGGTGTTCATAGACTTCTTCTCATGGGAGAGAATGGAAAGGAATCGACAGAATGATGGTCTTCAGCCTTAGCTGCACATTGGAGTCTCTGTGGAGCTTGAAAAAGTCCTGATACTTGGGGTCCATCCCTTGAGGTTCTGATTTGGTTAGCCTGGCGATGGCCTGAGAATCTTTTAAAAGCTACCCAAGTGATCCTAATGGTCAATTATGATTGAGAACCTCTTGTCTAAAGAGTGTCTTTGCCATTTATTGAGCTGCTTTCGGGGCCAGACCCTGAATGGCCTGCTTTGCAGCCATTTTTGTCATTGTTAGTTTAACCCAAGGCAGTAAGGAGGAGGGAGAAGCTCACATCATCCAAGGCTAAAAGTGTCTCACTTGAACTTGAGTCTGAATTTTCAAATCAAAATTTAAGAATTAAAGATGAATAAATCTGAAGATCTGTTGTACAACATTGTCCCTATAGTAGGCAATCTTGTATTCTATTCTTGAAAATGTATTAAGACTTCATATTAAGTGTTCTTGCCACAATAAAATAAAAATTTAAAAACAAACCCCTAGGACTCATAGTCTAACCAAAAAGATCTTTTAATTTGTGAGTGTATTGATATACATGTGTTTTAAAATATAAACATGTCTTAGGTATGCACTTAGCAAACTGACTTTGGTTAAAGAAAATAAGTAGAAACCATTAAACCAACTAATATTTAGTGTCTAGTATATCCCAGACATTTTATCTATGATATTCTCTCATACTTGCTGTTCATAACACCCTCATGTTTGTGCTGGAGCCAGAAAAGATGGTTATGTAGAATATGGAGTATTTCCCACTTCTCAGACTTAAACTCCTGGCCCTTTATACCTAGACCTCTCCAACAATTTCAGTCATTTTGGAATTTGCATGCAAAATAAAAGCTTCCTACATAATTGAAATTATGGCCAATTGACCGTGAAATGGAAGTGTCCATGACCAATGAGGTGTTGGGTAGGGGGAGGTTGTCGTGCTCAGAAATGGGGCTGCCAGAGCCCCAGGGCTAGTTCCCTAGCTCTGGGAGAGAAAGCCACCTAAAATCTCTCTTGCTGCCCCTAAGCAGCCAACCAGACTTCCCTTGCCCCGCCCCCTCTCTGGTGAGAAGCAGTTTGGTGTAGCTCTGAAGGGAGATACTCTGCTGTGATCTTTTCCTTGTTGGTTAAGAATACATCTAAGGGGAACCAGCAGTTAGTGTAATGGCTATGTCGCTGGACTCCCACATAGTCGACCGCGGTTCACGTCCCGGACCCGGTGGCTTAAAACTCACGCTGGGCACGTGTGCGTGCGTGCCCAAGATCCCGAGAGGGGAATGGAGGAGAAGGGATTGCGGTGTGACCATCCCCCCTGGGGGGTGATTTCTCGCTTTCATCTCTAATGTCTCTGTCTGGCTGGCGAGCGCACGCACCCTATAGTGAAAATCTCTCCAATAAATAAATAAATAAATAAATAAATAAATAAATAAATAAATAAATAAATAAATAAATAAATAAATAAATAAATAAATAAATAAATAAATAAATAAATAAATAAATAAATAAATAAATAAATAAATAAATAAATAAATAAATAAATAAATAAATAAATAAATAAATAAATAAATAAATAAATAAATAAATAAATAAATAAATAAATCCATACTTTGGAACCAGCAATTAGCGTAATGGCTATGTCGCTGGACTCCCACGTAGTCGACCGCGGTTCGCGTCCTGGACCCGGTGGCTTAAAACTCACGCCGGGCACATGTGTGCCCAAGATCCTGAGAGGAGAATGGAGGAGAAGGGATTGTGGCATGACCATCCCCCCTGGGGGGTGATTTCTTGCTTTCTGTCTCTAATGTCTCTGTCTGTCTGGTGAGCGCACGCGCCCAATAGCAAAAATCTCTCCAAAAATAAAAAAAAAGAGAAAGAATACATCTAAGGAAGAGAAGTTGGAACAGGAAGGTCCATGTGAGAATAATCTCCTTCCTCAGGCCATGGTTTTGCAAGCCAAGGAACTGCTGAGCCCAGATTGGGGTGTGGGGTGCCCACCAGGAGAGAATGGGAGATGATAGGGAAAAGTCGAACTGCGGAAAAGAAGACTTAACTTTTGGAATACAGTGAAGAACCATCAAAGATATTGGAAGGGAATTCATTTATATAGCTTGTATTTCATGAAGATTATTCCACAAAAAGGACTTAAGGGAAATAAATGGAGGCAGGGGGTTTGACCAGTCAGCATCAACCAAGATATCATCTGGTCGTGGACAGTGGCTCTAAGATGAAGGGGAAAAATTAGTAGGAGACTTGGAGTATGATGAAATGGGACACAGAAGGGGAATAAGAACAGGTGCTATGTGCTAGCTAACACCATAGCTTTGTGAGAAGGCAATGTTATCTCCAACCCATTGAAGGGGAAACTGACAA